TCGGCTCCGAATGGCGACGGTGGGTAACCAGATTCGAAAACTTTATCATTGCTTTTGACGTGAAAGATGACGCACGCAAACGCGCCCTTCTACTTCACTATGCAGGGGAGCGAATTCACGAAATCTCTGAGACTCTCCCTGACTTGCCGAGTAACGTAACATCCGGCCAAACGCCAGCGACTGTCGTGGCTGATTCTTCATCAGGCACCACTACAATTGTGAGCACGTATAAGGACCTCAAGGACAAGCTCGACGCCTACTTCAACCCACACATGAACAGTACGTTTGAAATCTTTCAATTTCGGCAGGCGAAGCAACTCGATGGCAAGTCCATAAGTCAATTTTCAATCCGACTTCGGCTTCTTGCTCGGAATTGCGGATTTGCTAACCCCGATCTCGAAATCAAGAATCAAATCATATTTGCGACAACATCATCGTGTCTGAGACGGACAGCTTTGAGGCAGGACCTCGACCTTGCAGCCCTTCTGAAACAAGCTCGGCTCCTCGAAGATGTCGAACGCTCAACAACAGCAATGGAGACATCAACTGATGCCGCTGTCCACAATCTCGATAAAGAACCTCGCCAAGACCGTGCAGGCTATAGACCAAGAAACACTTCATCACATCGGCGGAAGCCAGAACTCCGAGCACAACACTGTCAATACTCATCTCCTCAGTGCTTCCACTGTGGTGGCAGTTGGCCCCATGAGGGAGGACAAGCAAACTGTCCTGCCAAGTCGTCCTCCTGCAGAGCTTGTGGCAGAAAAGGCCATTTCAGAAAAGTCTGTCAGTCAGCCCACAAGCCCATACTTCATCTGTCACGTGACTCTGACTCTGACGAGAACATCTACGCCATTGGAACCGTTTCGGAGATATCTAACCGTAGCCTTCCACAAGCTTGTGTAGATATCAACAACACCCTCGTGCACTTTCTAATCGACACAGGTGCTTCAGTGTCAGTAATCGGGACTCACACCTTAGAAACTCTAAGAAAACCTGCTGAGCTGCAACAAGCAGGAGTTCGGATTTACGCATATGGGTCAAGCACGCCTCTACCCATCCTTGGCAAATTAAGCGCCACGCTGACATAAAAGGACATCAGCATAAGAGAAGACATTTTCGTGATGGAGGGTTCAATGAGGTCATTGTTAAGCTTCGCTGCTGCGAACAGACTGGGCCTTATCAAAATCACGTACGCCGTGGATTCGTCCCAGCAAGCAGCACCTCTGAGCCCGAGCGCTGAAGCCACGTCGAGCTCCTTTGGGACACCACTCAAGGCCTTTCCTGAGCTATGTGCCGGTATTGGCAAACTAAAAAACATCCAAGTACATCTTCACGTTGACAGGGGAGTCGTTCCAGTCTCTCAACCTCACCGAAGAATACCCTTTGCGCTGCGAAGCAAAGTGGAAGAAAAAATCAGCCAGCTTCTATCCTTGGACATCATTGAAGAAGCAACAGGACCCACCCCGTGGGTTTCTCCAGTTGTAATCGTGCCAAAACCGCAAAACCCAGACGAGATTCGATTATGCATCGACATGAGATGCGCAAACAAAGCCATCCTTCGTGAGAGGCATGTCTGCCCTACCTTCGACGACTTGGTCATCGCACTGAATGGGTCAACGTTATTTACAAAACTTGACCTAAAGGATGGATACCATCAACCAGAACTTGACGAAGAATCAAGAATAATAATGACATTTGCGACACACACCAAGCTCTATCGATACAAGCGCCTAATGTTTGGCATTAACGCGGCCGCCAAAGTCTTTCAGGAAACTATTCGCCAAGTCCTTAATCGAATACCTCAAGTCCTCAACATCAGTGACGACATACTAGTGTTTGGTAAAACAAAACAAGAACACGACGAGGCCGTAGAGGCCACACTTGTAAGGTTGAAAGAATGGGGCCTCACAGTTAACCCAAAGAAATGCCTCTTCGCACAGACGAGCCTGTGCTTCTTTGGACACATCTTCTCCGCTTCTGGCATTACTGCGGATCCCCAAAAGATTGCAGCATTTAGGGAAATGGAAGCTCCTACTAACGCGCATGAGGTTCGAAGTCTGCTTGGCACTGTAAACTACAGCGGACGCTTCCTTCCTAATCTCGCGGACCTTACACACCCCCTTCGGCTCCTCACCAAGAAAACTGCCAAGTGGGTCTGGGGACCAACAGAGCAGGCTTCCCTGGACAACTTGAAGAGAAAACTCTCTGAAGTACATAATCTCGCATTTTTCGATGGCACAAAGGAGATCATTCTTACAGTTGACGCATCCCCTGTTGGACTCGGTGCCATATTAGCACAGAAGACAGACAATATCATTGAAACTGTCGCGTACGCTAGCCGTGCTTTGACCCCCACGGAATCACGATACTCCCAAATTGAACGTGAACTACTTGCTGTGGTATGGGGAGTTGAGCATTTTCACCTGTACCTATATGGCAACACATTTCTTCTCCACACAGACCACAAACCACTCGTGTCAATCCTTACCAATCCAAGAGCCTCTCCCTCGGCACGCCTTGAGCGTCTCGCTCTGAGAATTCAGCAATATAACTTCAGAGTGGAACATACGCGTGGAAGCAGCAACCCTTCGGACTACTTGTCTCGCCATCCCTTGCCAAATCTTCCTGCTGATGCCAACCTGGCTCATGCCACTGATGCGTATGTCAACCTTATTGCTCAATGCCATCTTCCAAAAGCTATGACTAGCGCAGAAGTAGTTGAGGCCACGGCTAGTGACCAACATCTACAGGAAGTGATCGCTGCCCTCAAGAGCCCTGCCAGATGGCGCAACCCAGCTCTCAGGGACTTTGTGTCAATACAACACGAGCTCTCTGTGGCAGACAATGGCCTGCTGCTGAAAGGTACTCGTCTCGTTCTACCCGCCGCTCTCCAGCAACGAGCCATATCTCTTGCACATGTGGGGCACCAAGGGATAACCAAGACAACCAAGCTCATGAAGCAGAAGGTCTGGTTTCCTCATCTCGATACTAAAGTGCAAACAGCTCTGAAAACCTGTATGCCGTGCCAAGCGACCATTCAGTACCAACATGCCGACCCCATCGCCATTCCAGAAAAGCCTAGTCGGCCTTGGGAAGCCCTCTCACTTGACTTCGCCGGTCCATTTCCAAACGGCAAATACCTGATGGTCCTTATGGATGACACGTCCCGCTATCCTGTCGTAAAGATATTGTCATCGCTCACCAGCCAATCCGTCATCAATAGCATCACCAAGATCTTCAGCATCTTCGGAATTCCAAAGGTGATCAAAACGGACAACGGAGCCCCGTTCCAGAGCCACGACTTCAAGCAATTCGCCCACACGCTAGGATTCCACCATCAGCGTATTACACCGCACTGGCCGCAAGCGAATGGGGAAGTGGAGAGATTCATGCGAACATTGAAACGGTTCATACAAGCGACAACACTGGAAAACAATAGCTGGACCTCCAAGCTGGGCGAATTCTTGATGGCCTACAGGGCAACACCCCATTCAGCAACTGGAACCCCATTTTTTGATGTGCTTTTCGGCAGGTCCATGGGATATCTTCTCCCAAGCTGCTCCAATGACAACCCACCTCAGAAGTGGCAAGACGCAGACCTCCAAAATCGCACAAAACACAAGATATACGCTGACAGACGTAGGCACGCCCGGCCTCACAACCTCACTGTGGGAGACCGAGTTCTCTCCAAACAAAACCAAAGAAGCAAGCTGACCCCTGCCTATGATCCCAAGCCATACAGGTCATCGATGTCAAGGGGACGCAAATTACGGCACGGCGGGATCACGGCATAATAACAAGAAACGCTAGTTTTTTTAAACCCATGCCCCTCACCACGAGCAAAGGATCCGAAGGTGACTGTGACTCGGACAACGCGTGGTTCAATGTCCACCTCTCTCAAGATGGCTGCAGGGGAACGCTTCCAGACCCGACTGATCGAGAAACCGAGCAACGCCTCGTTCGGGGGGAGGACGAAAGAGACCGATCTGTTGAAGCCCCTGCCCCTGATCCACCAGGAACATTGCGACCGATCCGTACCAGGTGCCCTCCTGCACGACTCAAGGACTACGTCTGCTCTTAATAAGCCTTTCGTTCTGGTCATTTGTCTGCTTCTTGGGGGGAAGTGATGTAGTGATGTGGATTTTATGTGTGCGCGTGCAACACATATAGCAGCGGGGAAAAGGAGAAAGAGGAAGAATAAATCCAGGGATTGGAAATGGCTGCCCCTCGTTCATTCTACACGCAGTAGTAGCACACCGCTTATGCACCGCGACTGCAACTCTACAGAGGCAATTGGTTCCACCAATCAGACGCCATTAGTTCGCTTTCGTGACCTTTTAAAATGTGCATGTAAATGTCCAACCTAGCCTCCCTCGTACACAGGTGACTAAGCAGTTTCTCGGGCCAAAAAAGTCGGGCCGACTAATTCAGAATTCAACCTCAATATAGTTACGGTTAAACGTGAAATCAATTTGTTCATTTCCTTTACTTGAGACACAGTTTGCTGAAACTTGGAGCGACGAGCTATGTAATGTATTTTCTTTCTTTTTTAGGTTGGGGAGAAGGGAGTTGGGAGAGCGTATGTTTACGGCAGGACTCCGCAGTATGGTTTTGTATGACGGCCACCAGAACTCTTACACAAACAGCTGTTTGCATCAACGGAGCGTTGGGCTGAGGAGCGGGAAAACAGTAATAAAAGTGCGCTCTTTTCTTTTTAGTCATTAAACACACCCAACTAGACAACGAAAACCAGAACACAAAGCTGAAACGGCCGCTCGGCACGCTCCAGTCATCGTATAAAAAGCTGGGAGGCCGTTCGCTTCGTTTTCGATATTACCGAAGCATATCAAGCAGCGGGAATGTTTTGTATTGGGAAAGATGCGGGCACCATTGGAGCAAAGCGAACCGATAGATCGATGCTGAGATTGCTCCAGTCACCGAACCGAGGGCGAGAATATGAACGCAATAAATCATGCACAACGAAGATAGTTTCTCACCTGATCGAATGCAAGAATCCGGTGCAGCTCTCGGCCGAGTATTTCAACGGAGAGCGCTCACAGAGGCCAGCCTGTGACAGCTCGAAATTACAGCCATCTTTGGCCGGGGGATACGAAAGCGAGGATTAGGTGAGTGCGTTTGTTTACTCGGGTGTCATGACCCCTGTGCCTGCGGTGTCTGCAGTGCTTAGGCTTAGGGTTATTCGAGTTACTCTGCAGTGTTTGGGTCACGTGATACCAATCGTTATTAGCCACGCTAAACAAGTATAACACAAGAGTATTAGTTTTCATTTATCACTTTACAAAAAAGGTCGCATAAATTAAAGTGAAGTTATAAAATCAGACCAGTAAATTCGTGACGTCACGCAAAATAATAAGAGTCGCTGCAGTGAACGTTATGGTCATAATTAGTACATTAGCGTATAATTTTTAAGAATATATTGCATTAATTCCACAAACTTACCATCATGACGTCAAATTACCAGCCGTTTGACCCATAAAAAACACAAAAAACTCACAGACAGCGCCTCTTGCGGATAACGTTTTTTGTTTTTTTTAATTTTAATTTTAATGTTTAGTTTTTTCCGTGAGTGCGGTGAAGAGCTGGCAAGAGCTCGTTCTTCGCGTCGCTGGTGTTGCGTGCATTTCCTGCGGATGAAGTGAATGACTTCATCCGGTGAATCTGTGTGAGTGTGGGGTTTGGCCGTGCTTTTCTCTCCCGCGGTACCGACTCCGCCTCGTCCACGAAATAAGTTCCGCTTTCGGAAGGCATTCCAGCAGCGTTCGGGCGTTCAACGTAATCAGCTTTTACCCGCAGCCCTTGCCCGTAAGCGGTTGTCGTTGTCTCCGACATCGTTCCTCATTGCTGTCATCACCGCCGCCCATTGCCCCGAGGTAGCATTCCACGCTTGGTAGCTTCGAAGCTCGAAGACAGGAAACTTGACCAGTTAGCAGCACTTCTTCCGCAAGCGTTCCCTGTGTAACGGCAACTTTCTCGGTAACTTTAACTCACTTCTTGTTGCTAATGTCGCGCTTGTAATGAATGGTGACACTTTTTGCTCATGGGAGTGGCAGCTACCGCAGAAGGGCCGAGGCTTCAGTCGACTCTTTCTAGTCTACCTAGCCCAGCAACTTATCAAGGACGGAACGCTTCAGTCGCTCAAGCTGTCGAGCCCATATTGAGTACCGCAGGCCTGTAGTTGAAATTTTTTTATTTAATCTTTCTTCCTCGTCGATGTAGGTAGAATACCTTTCCGACCAGACGGCACCCGTATGGCAGCAGATCAACTCAAAATTTGCAAAGGGAGGACTAGGATTGTCCCCAACTTTGTCGGGCTAGTAGGGACACTTGGCAGTTCGTATGCCATAGCTCACTTCGATCACGTACTTACTGAGTACGGGCCTGCAATCCGCACAGCACGATATCCCAAAATTCTCTATTGCCTTTCTGCGTGCCGAAGTGTCCGCGAGTTATTCTTCTTTCGTGCGATGTGTATACAGTTTCTGGTTTGCCCTAAAAGCCCGGCCGATCGCTCCGCTTGGAAGTTTCTCGTGCTTTCGTTCGCGGACGGACCGGCGATGTGTCACAGTCGAGGCCTAATGCAGCGTCCTCCTTCCGACTTGCGCTGTTTTCTTTTTTTTTGGTCTCTTCAGAGGCCGAGGCACCAGCAGCCAACACAGCATGTCTAGCCGCAAGACCAAAGGGCGGGGCCCGACCAAGAAGCGCGCCCAGCGCGCGACGTCCAACGTCTTCGCCATGTTCGACCAGGCGCAGATCCAGGAGTTCAAGGAGGCTTTCAACATGATCGATCAGGACCGGGACGGATTCATCAGCAAAGAGGACCTCCACGACATGCTCGCGTCTCTGGGTGAGCGATACCGCCTTGTCATGCTCGGCGCCATTTCTTTCGGAGCCGTCTTTCGGTTAGATTTGTGTAGAGCTCACGCGCGTTTCGCGGGAGACTGCGGGTGACACATGTCCCGACGATTTCGTCCGAAATAAGGCGATAAAAAAAAAATGGGACAAATGCCAAGTCGCCAAAGCTTTTCTCTTTCTCCCTCTTCATCGGGGTGACGTCAGGGGCTAAGGATGACGTCAGTGAGTGTCGATCGCGGCGTGTTCTCCTTTGGATACTCTAGCGACTTACTTTGGACAGAAAATATTTATTGCTTTGGGGGTACACCCTCTTCCCAAAGTCGGTGAAGTAGCAGTTAAATTGTTACAGCCATGCCATTGCTGAATTGTTGCCACAGAAACGATGATAGCTACCGCTGATTGTAGCTGTTACGAGACTTTTCATGCCAATATTGTGACCACAAAAGCAATTATCTAAGGCCTGCTTCAGACGGGACGATTTCTCCCAGCAACTTGACATCACAACACCAGCAACACGGGCCACCCGCGTTCACACGCAGCAACCAATTGCTGTGATTTGCCTTCATCATTAAATTTTCTTTTTCTTTCACTATTTCAACACAGTTACACGCTCTAAACGTGTTCTTATACTTTTGAATGGCGTTAAGAGTACTAACTCATCATTCTGAAACGGTTAATTTCCAAAAACGTTCCATTTCAAACCAGAAGCAAGCCTTTAGTTATCATCATCACTGGCACGGTGTGTCACGTGAAAATATTGCGTTCCTGAGTGGCTGCTGCCACTTCAAACGTCTCAGAGTTGTCCAAGTTGCTCGTCTGTTTTGAGCTGGACGCCATACGACCAATTCGTGTCGTACTAGGGAAAGCTAAAGAACAACTCACCAGCAACACCGAAATTTCTGGGAAAGTTGCCCGTCTGAAGTGGGCCTAAAAGTTTCTATGCTCAATTTTCAAGATTTGTGTAGAATTTTTTTTATGGCACAGTCTTCGTATGCATCCTAGAAGTTCCAAAACTATGATCATGCATGGCTTTTTTCTAGTAGCTGCATTTCAAGTTTGTTTTGGTGCCAGCATTCCACGCCGAGAGAATTGGATGTGCGCCATAATGCAACCCAGTTGTGCATTGCTAAAGCAAGGAACGTGAGCGGACACCTTGCAAGTGAAGAATGGGTGTTTGTCTGCTATGAGCTGTCATTTGCAGACAAGAAGTGAGAAAGTACCTAGCTTGGTCTGCTAGGAATTCTGTCTCGCGTGCAAGAGAATTGATTGAGGGCTTAGATTTTGGGCGTGTCCTATTTCACGAAGGAAGCGATCAATGGCTTGTTCTTCCTTTGCAAATTTTGAGTCGTTTTGTTGCCATACGGGTGCTGAAATCTACTGCTGAGTAGGCTCAGGAAAACGCATCGGTGACCACGAGACTTCTCTCACCATCTGTTTAGGGGGTGAAAAGGTCACACCAATCAACTGTTTGATTGCGGACTTGTGAGCAGACAAAACATGCCTCATTCGTCCACAAAGGTGGTCCAGCAAAAAGCTGTGGCACTATGTCTCATCATGGTTCTGTAATTCAGTCATCCGCCGAGAAAGCTCTCAATCTCACCAGGGGCCAAAATCGAACTCAGGCGTATGCAGCCGACGATTCGAATCGAAAGCACCGATACCAGCAGATTAGTTTTGAGCCATATTGTTTCAGTGGTTCACGCTTAAAATTGATCAAGCTTCTGTGCAAATAATATCAACAGTTTTCTCCAGTGTAAACAGTTACCAGGATTGGAAGCTGCTGTTGCCAGCTTGTGGCGGGAACTTATGCCCTCTGTAAATATCTCGATCACAGTCAAGTTCTTTGTGGTCGTTGCAAATGTAAACTATGCACTGCAGCGACTGCACTGTCGTGTTTCCGCCTGTCGTGTCACGCAGCAGATCGTTTGGTTTGATTTGTGGCTGGTGCTCTCATGACAGCTTTGGTGGCATTAGCATCAGGCTGCACTTGGCAAGTTTGTTTGAGATTGGTTCTTTGTGTGGCCCTCAGACGCATTCTGGGGCAAAACTTGTACGTTGCCAGTGCCATGTGAAACAAACTCTCTACCAGTAAAAAGAGTCACGTTATGCTGTGTGGTCGTGTTTTTGTATGGGGATGAAAGCCATGCTTGGTTTGTAATTTCGGGTTTTCTGGGATGCTTAGGGTGCACAGGCTGTGTTTGCACCAGGATGGTCTCAGTGCCCTTTTAAGGGTTCTAAAGAAGCCTATATTAGACCCAGGGATTTTGCTGGCTTGCTTCTGATCTCCTTGACTGGTTTGGTATGTAAACAGCCTCCAAGGTCTCAATTTTGTGTTTTAAGTCTGCTGTCCTCTGGCCCTGCAGGTAAAAAAGCATAGGAGAACTTCTTGAGCACCGTAGTCATGTTATGCACATTAGCGTAGGCTTTTGTTTTCCAATCTCAAATAATATTGTGCTGCACATTGAATACAGTGGAATCCCACTAGAACGAAGTTGACTGGGCACGCGAAAAAGAACTTCATTATCGTGAATTTGGCCAAAAACAATAATATATTGGTAATAATAATATATTAGTTGTGGTGACACATGAACATGCTTTAATGACAGGGCTAACTTGGTCTGGACTGCTTGCACTTATTTTAAAAAACCGCGGCATGATGTGATTTTTACTGTCAAACAGCAATTGCACTGTGATGTGGTCATGGGCAGTGACAAAATAATTTGCAAAGCGTCTATTACCTGGGACAGGAGAGCCGGGGTATTTAGAGTCCTGTGCAGCATCGTGTTAAAAATTTAAGGAATCGCAAATGCTTTCAATAATTTGTTTGTCAATCATCTCTTCCTGAGCGATCTCATCTTTTTTGGCATAGAAGCCGACAGAGACGTGTCGAAACCGCCCGTGTCAGCTGCCCTTTTTTTTATTTGCCGTCTTGGTGATAATACACATTTTTGTCGTCAAGAGAAAGAGAACTCCTTATGTTTGCTGGTGAGAACAATCTGTTTCTGTCATTAACCACGCCAAATTGTTGTGCAAAATCGCGTGCCGGCTGGTACCGTCCATCATCCACACGCTGCACACTGTCAACACGCCATCTCGTGCAGATTTGGCTTGGCCCAGAGCAGACTCAAAACAGACTTTGTGCCGAGAATTAAGAGGCTTTGGAGCTCTCGAGAAACACTCTGCAACATTGTCATCGCCATCAAGCAATGCACGTTTTCCAATGTTTCGAGCCTCTGTGCCGCAGTTTGCATTAACTTCACCGGGTCAAAGTCAGTTGACATGTTTCCTAGAATGCCTGGTGCTCACTACACCATCAGCCCGCCCTATGGACACATGTGGCAGAACATTGGATGGACATTGCCCACGGTCGAAAGCAGTTCTATTGTGGTTTTTATGGTGAACGTAAAGTTTCCACATGAAGTGTCGATTGAAAAAGGTCCTTCCCTGTTGCCATGGGAGACGTGCCACTGGTGATGCTAGGATTGCTATCAACCTGTACCTGTTCACGTGTGGGCAACAGAAGGACTGTTTTTGAACAACGCTCTTCCGTAGAGAACTGAGAGTGCGTTAATGCACTGCAGTAGATGACAATGGGGGCTTGAGCTGCAGGAACCTAGGTATTCTGGCTTGAATAGCCACCCCTGCCCATTTTGATCTGGATGAGCATCGTACTGGCATCTGGTCATGTGTCACTTTTGCATGACGTGCGTTTGAGACCCCAGGGCTGCAGTCGGACTGCATTGCTTATATTTCTCATCCACCACATAAACCTGAGTTACCATACCTCCAAGGCAGACTGACCTTACCTAACTAAAAAGTTAGAAGCAATTTTCGGAAATTTCTGTAAAGAAACTGGTGGCCGAAGCCCACGAACGCTGGGAGTGTGTGCCATTTTCTCACTAGAAATTTCTGAAAATCATTTTTAATTTTATAGTTAGACTTAGTAGAATGGAGAATATGAAAAATTGGTATGAGTTCATTGTGAAAAGACAGTGTGAAAGAGACAAAGTCAAATAGAGAGGACTACACGGGACAAGCACTGACTAATAACTGTTTTTTTATTGCAATGTATAGATGGTGCTGTGATGGTGCAGGCACGTATCCCACTGTGGTTTGTTTTTTCACTCTACGTGCTAACCAAGATCCAGAAGTTGAATCTCACAAGTTTGGCTCACGCACGAGAGTATTGTTTGTTATGTAGTGCGCTTTTTTCATTTCCCTACACGTTTGGTCTTGGTGTTCTGACAGTACGGTAGTGTTGGACAACCGCGGTTTGCACCCGCAATCTCGACAGTGCATCACTTAATACGATTATGCGGTTCCTTTCAAGGACCTGTGGTGTCCTCCGAGTTGGATGTTCAATCATCGCCCCGTCTGTCCACTATAGGAGCACGCTTAGGAGAAAGGGATAAAGTGGACCGTGCCTTTTACGCAGGTGACGAACTTGATGTAGTGCTTGACGTTGCAGCTGTTACGACAATCCGCTCGCTTCTCTTTGCCTTTGTGTACTTTCACCACGGGGTATAATCGGCTTAGTTTGTTGCAGGAAAAAAAAAACCATGCTCGCTCCGTACCCAGATGCTACATTTTTAAGTCTATGTGAAATGCGGTGAGTAGATGAGACGACTGAAATCTTTTCCTTCTTCACCTCTTTCCCTGAGACTGCATACTCGCACTTAGCGATGCATTGTCTAGATTGCGCTTGCAAACCATGGTTCTCAGAGACCACCGTACTGTTTGAACACCAAGACCAAATGTCTAGAGAAATAAAAGAAGCATACGACATAGCGAAGCCAGACCTTTGTGTATGAGCCAACATTCATTGACTTTAACAAACAGTGAGATTCAATTTCTGAATCTTAACATGTGAAGTGAAAAAAAGAAAAAAAAGGAAGAAAGAAATGCAAAATTTACGGTGTGCCCTGTGCCTGTGCGATCAGTGTCACCTTATACATTCCAATAAAAAGTTAGTTGCTGGTCAGCGCTTGTCCTGCGCAGTCCTCCCTTTTTGTCCTCGTCTCTTTTACGCTGTTTTTTCACAATTATAATTGGATGACGGTAAGTTGTAAAGCTTTTTGGCATCTGATCCCAACAGCTATATTTGGGCAGAGCCCGAGTTTTTGCTGTACAATGGACACTGTGAACCTTACTCGGAGACACCCATTTTTTTTTTCTTGCATGCTTTTCGCAACGTTTTTTCTTACGTGCATTGACTTTTTTAGTTTTAAATGTGGCTACGGAATGGTGCGCACATGTGGCAGAGCGGGCTGAGCTTCGGGTTTTGGCGTCTCATCCTTGTGCAATGTTTTGTGGTGCGTGGGCAAGGATGCGGAGGCACGAGCAGAGCGTGGCAAATCATAAATTCCGACGCCGGCGGACTTGAGGGAAGGAACGATGAAAGATTGGGAAAAGGAAAGATGATTAAAGGTCCCGCATGTTTGTTTCGGCATGAAGCATTAAAGGTCGGGCGTGTTTGTTTCGTCATGAAGCATTAACGTTGTTTGGTTGCTCGTCAACTTTAGTTTTCCTCACTAGCTTGACGGCTTCTGGCGTGCTCGATGTTCTTCTCAATGACTATGGAAAAAAAATTATACTAGTTGCTGTGAGGTTGAACGATAAGGCACTGTTTTGGATGCCTAGCCTTCAGCATGCGCTCATTGCCTTCCAGAGTGCTTCCGCTGCGCGGGCACGCACTATGCTCTTGAGATGCCGAAGTGGCATCAAAGGCGGAAAGCTCGCACTAAAGAGGAGACAACTGAAAGGGGCCTCTTTGCCATTCTTGTCTCATCGGCAACTATGGATACCAATGATAATGTAGCGATTGCGCAGGCGAGCTGGTGGATGTTAACCATTTTGTTCTTAGCCCAAGACTGGAGCATTTGTTCTTAGCCCGAGACTTAATCCTCGACTGTTCATTTTTCTTCTACTTTGAAACTTTCCTCCTTTCCTGCCCCAGTCTCGGGCTAAGAACAAAATGGTATGGATACCTTGCGAGTGATGTTTTGCTGTTTCTTGGCATTTATCGAAGGCGTGCTAGCAATCCATTTCCACTAGGACCACAGACGCTTTGCTCTCCAAGATGACCGAAAGGCATGGGAAAATGTTAGACCTTTTTCTCTCGCAGGTTAGTTCAGTGGCTTAGCCTGAAAGACGGCTTATGAAGTTTCAAACTCCCCCCCCCCCCCCCCCCCCCCCCCCAAAAAAAAAGAAAAGAAAATCCTGCATTCCTGCATTGGACCAGGCAGAGGGCACTGGTCCGATGCTCATTGAAATTGTTGGAATAGAAGTTGGCAGGCATGGGCACCGAGCCACGATTCCTGTGCTATGCGGCGTAAGCTTTTGCTACACGTGCTTGGAGCTGCGGTGCACCAACGTCACTGGCCAGGAGACAGAACGATATGGGATGTTCTAGCCAGTTTGTTTTTCCCAGAGCTCGACGTTTACTGAACACAAGGCCCGTGAACTCAATAGTCCTTTATTTTCAACTATTTTAGACTTTCTAAATAGCGCCAGGTCACCCCTTAGTTATAAGAAAAGTGTGAAAGAAATTTTATTTACGGATGAATAAAACAACGAAAAATATGTCCTAAACTTCTTGAATGATAAATGCATGTAATAGCACAAAAATGTTTTTTTTTTTTTTTTTTTGACTTGTTGTAGCAAAATGTAATATTATAGATAATTGGCCCACCTGTGTTCGCACACCCCTGGTTGTTTGTTATTTGTCTTCTTTTGTGTTTGTTTTTTATTGTATAGCAGTGAAAGCATGTCACTCTTGTTTTGTTTTGCTACCGCTGTTGCCAAAAAGGGCGGCGTGGCCTCGTCAGGCACTTCAAAGTGCCTTTAGCCATGTCCCCCGAGACATTCTGTAAGTTCTGTCTCAAATAAACTTATACAAACAAACAAACAAACAAGTCATCTTTCTGAAGGAGGGGAGCACGATGTAACGTAAAATGTGTCGACAATAAACGGTTACATTGGTGGGACGTGAAAATTCGGATCTCTTCCAAAAGCTATCTGAGGAAAATGCGAGTTCGATCCGCTTTGGCCTTTGTGCCGAGCAAATGCTGGACACACGGTTGGTGCATTCTGCATTTTTCACGCAGGACGGAAGGTGATGGAGAAATGCGAGCCCCAGCTGAAAAAACGTGGCATTTGACTTTGTCGGCCGTGCACTGTGTCGTTGTTGTCCCTATGGGTGTAGTTCTGAAGTTGCTAGGGGCACAACCATTGAATCTCCTCCCAATTGTGTGCACTGCGTGCAGGCAAGAACCCCGAGGACCCGTACCTGGAGGGCATGATGAACGAGGCTCCCGGCCCCATCAACTTCACCATGTTCCTGACGCTGTTTGGGGACCGGCTGCAGGGCACCGACCCAGAGGACGTCATCAAGAACGCCTTTGCCTGCTTCGACGAGGACAATGTGGGCCGCATCCACGAGGAGCGCCTGCGGGAGCTGCTCACCAGCATGGGAGATCGCTTCACCGACGAGGACGTGAGAGACTTCCCACTCTGCCCTCGCCTCTCAGGCTGCGCATGCTGCTGAATGCAAGCATCTCTCCCTGCAACTGAAGTAGCTGGAAGGATTTTCTGGCGCCGTGACTGGTTTTGTGGGGAAGACGTACACCTACAAGAACGCTCCGCGGCTACCATTTTCCGGTGCATTGTCAAGGCTAGCACAGCGTCCACAGTGCCACAACTCTGCACTGTCTTGCGTCTCGCTCGTTCTCGTGCGAAGAAGACGCCAAACAGAGCGAGATGCCCGCCTAAGAAAGTAGCTTTGAGACCGTTGGAGCACTGTGGAATGTGTGCCAGCCTTTTCTACGCGGCACAAAATGGTCTATGCCGAGATAGCGAATTGCTGCCTTAATTCCCTCCTCTCTTAGAGGGAATTTATATCCTCCCTTGAAATGTAAGTTCATATCTGGGGAATGTGGTGTTAAGCGAGAATCTAAGAAAACGACGGGTGAGGCTTTCGTTGACGAGCGGAATTGGCCAGAACGCCAGGTAGTTCTTGTCCTTGGAGCCGGTCACGTGGCCAGGAAATCTCTCTTGGGACCTTTCCAGCCGCTGGGAGGGATATCCGCATTGATAGGCAAACTGCTCCGGGAGTTCCCAAGAATGGAGGAGTTTACTGGGCGCCCTTGTGGCACTTAGATCCCCCGTTTTTTTTTATCCTCCCTGCCCCTAAGCGAGTTTTACAAGGTGGCGTGCCTTTAGTAGGACAACTACATATTTGTTTATGCAGGGGTGGAATCACTGCGCCATTGTGGGCCAATCCACTTTTGCTGTGCCATCCAGTGCCGACGTGCAAATGCTGCATCAAAATTAGCAAAAAGATTTTTTTTTATGTTAAATTTTATTTGAGTACTCTTTCCTGCTTTCCACAGTGGTTTACCGTGTTGTGCTCGTTTAGATAATTCTGAACCATGTTATGGAGCTACCATATCGATGTGGTTGTGTCGCCGTCAAAGCAGGTGACTCGTTTGATGAAAACAGGTGCCAAGCGTCTGTTTTCATCTTACAAGAATGACCATAATTTATTCTGGACCCGGTAAATAGATAGTGTTTCGTTTGATGGTCTCATTTTGATAAGCCATCAAGTGCCAGCAGAAGTCTGAGATCCATGCATGTTGGAGGTTTAAGTAGTTTGTTTTAAGGGGGGACGCAAGTTTTAAAACAGTAAAAAATCGCGAAAAAAACGTTTTTGAGAAAATTGTTTTTTTGAAGCCTTCATACTCTAAACTGCCTCTATGCAAAAGATCTATGCCGAAAACCATCTCAAAGCACGATAAAAACGACTTTATCATGAGCCGCGCTACTCCGGAGCGATGCACGAGCATCGAAATGAGGCTGCACTTTGCGCAATCGCGATTCCGAAACTGCTCCACGAATCGCCGCCATTTTGATATCATTTGAAAGCTTGTTTCGCGCCCTTTCTTTTGCCACCACTCAAGATGACGTCAGCGCGGCGCAGCCGATGCTGTCGCCGTTTTGCCGCGGCACGATCTCGAGTCGCTCATTGGCTGAAGCGCACGCTCCCGGGAATGCGTCGCGGCTATTGGCTACTCTACCTCCGTTTCTTTCTCCTGGCGCTTTCCACCCGCACGCGCCGGTCTCCGTCGCGAGCTCTGTCGTCTGCTCTTGTGTCTCCGCATGGTTTTGTTTTTCTGCTATCGGAGCGTTCTTCAAGATCGTCAAGCTTTGTTTTTGTAGATGTCTTTCTCGTCTGAGTAAGTTTTTCTGTCGTTGTTGTTCACGCACTAGTGTACACGTTTTCTGCAAACTTTCTCTCCGCATTTCTGTCACGCTGCACGTCGCGAAACGTGGTTACTGCAAGGAGCTGTGCTTTGTTTGAGAGCCTCGCAAGCAGCATGCGCGGAGATCATCGCTTGAAGTTGCGGACCCGTCAAGCGTACGGCAAGAAGCGCAAACGTGCTTGGAACAAGGGAGTGAAGGAGCCGATCGACAGTGGGCTGCATTCGTCGGAGCTGCGTGGGGATGACCCCGTTGATGACCCCGTCGACACCAACCCCGTCACAGTCGATCTCGAAGCTACGCCAAGTACGTCGGGCTTCGATAGAAACCGGATTGACACCATTTACTAGACTGCGGAAGAGGAGTCCGAAGCTTTGAAAGAAGCTGAAGAAAAAAAGCGCCATTTGGCGTCGCAGTCTGCGAGTCGGCGGAAGTTCGACCTGCTCAACGTCGATTCGGAGAGAACTGAAATTAACGGCGGAACGGAGTTCATCATTGTGAGCATGCAAGTACTGAACGATTTTTTTTCGCGTACGAACTGCAAGGAGTGTGGTGCAAACACTCTGACCCTTGAGAAATATGGGTCCGACTACTGCTTGGTGCACAGACTGGTACTAGTGTGCTCAACGTGTGAGGTGCGTGAGCAGCGCTTTTCATCGCCAAGGGTGGCCGGCGCCAACAAGATCACACCTTTCGAGGTGAACATTAGGGCGATGCAGGCAATGCAAAGCATCGGGAAGGGGTCGGCTGCCCTCACCGACTTTTGGGCGTGCATGAATGTGTCTCACCGGGGCCTCCATCACAAAACTTTCAATGGCCATATGGACAAAATGTTGCAAGCTGCTGAGGCAGCTGCTGCAGCCAGTGAAAATGAAAGTGCTGCAGTAATCAGGAGTCTTTACAAAGACTTCCTGAACCCTCCAGGTAACATTGATGTTATCTTCGACGGGACCTGGAAAACTCGGGGCCATGACTCGCACATTGGTGTGGGATGCATAATTGAACTCTACACCGGCCTCGTGATTGACCACAAGGTTTTATCAAACTTTTGCTTGGGGTGCACGGTGGGGCCAAAGCCTGACAAGGAGAACTTTGAGGAGTGGCAAGAGAGGCACAAGTGCCAGAAGAACAGCGACTGTAAGGCAGGCCGGATGGAAGTTGAAGAAGCCCTAGCCATGTTTCGTCGGTCCCTCGCCAAGCATGAGCTGAGGTACACGACCATCCTGTCAGACAGTGACAGCCGTACCTTTCATGCCCTGGCTGAGGAGGAAGTGTATGGCTATGTGACCGTGCAGAAGAAAGACTGCCTAAATCATGTACAAAAAAGGATGGGGACAGCTCTGCGCACTCTTGTGGAGAAAAAGAAGGCCTAAGGGAATCCCCTTGGAGGAAGAGGTCAGCTAACACAAGACAAAATGAAAAAAATAACCAACTATTATGGCTATGCCCTCAGAGGTCACAAACACGACGTGCCAGGAATGAAGAGGGCGGTGCAGGCTACGCTTCTGCACATGACCTCAACAGATTCTGCACCTGACAACAGCCTGTGCCCACAGGGTGCAGAGTCCTGTTGTGGCTTCAGCCGCGCCCTCTCCGAGGGCAAAAAGCCACCTGCGCACAGGAACAGCCTGCCGACTGACGTCCGTGTGGCTTTGGAGCCAATATTTGCCCGGCTGAGTGACGAATCCTTACTGCAGCGCTGCAGTGACGGAAAGACTCGGAATGCAAGCGAGTCTTTACATTCTGTGATTTGGAGCCTTTCACCGAAGACTCAGCATGCTTCCCTGTTCAGCGTGCGGAGGGCAGTGGCAGAGGCAGTTTCCCGGTACAATCAAGGCGTGATGAAGACGAACAAGATTGTCACAGAGTGTGTCGGCTTCGCTCCTGGACATTGCCTTACCCGCAGGAGTCACGAGAAGGACCAACATCGGCTTCACAGGGCCAACAAGGTCCACTCAGAGAGTGAGAAGACTGTGAGGAGACTGGCCAAGAGGCACACAAGGGACAAAGACCAGGACTACAGCCCTGAACTGCTTTGAGATCTCATAAGGTGTTCGTGAACTTCGGGTGCCTGTATCTCTGTTCGTGTTTTCTTGAATATAACCACCACCTTACGGGCTTTTTCTCAGGTTTGCCTTGGGCGGTCAAAACAATTTTGGTATCATTTGATTCAGGATGGATAGAGCTGTGCGGTGATGCTATTTTCCATTTATTATATGTTATGTAATGAACACAATTAATTATTCCTTGAAATTAATAGCAGGCCCATTTTGCAGCTTCTGAACATACATGTTTTTATGCATATGTCACCACTAATGTTGGTCTAAAATAGCATCACTGCACAAAGCACACCTTGGTGAACACATTTCTATAAAAATTTCTGAAACTTTATGAAAAATTTTGCACTAATGACCCGTAACAAAGGGCCTAATTACATTTGACAAATTTGTTATAATTCAAGTTCCACTAGAGCTATCCGAAATCTAATTACATATTTGAAATCAGCAAGAAAAACCATGCTTACATGGTGAATATGATGAAGATCCTAGCATAAATAAAAAAAAATGACTCAAGAACCCACATGTCCCCTTAAAGGGGCCCTGCAATCATATTTAAGCGTTTTCCTTTTTTGTGGTTTCCACGTCTCTTAGGGTTCGGGCAAGCCAGCGGGCACGGAGGGAGTAACTAAATATCAGTGCATCATATTTTAACCCTTTAAGGGTTTATGACGACCTCAACTCGTCATGAGCGATTGCCACTTTTTTGCTTATGACGAGCTCACCACGTCATGGGTACTTTGCTACTTTCTAAATGGCTGTTGACGAGCACAGCTCGTCAAGTAGCGTTTTCTGTTTAAAAACATAGATGGCAGCACCTTTTTTCATCCACGCTTTTCTTGAATGACAGTTTTCACACTAGATGGCAGCAGACGTTCCTTGTATGCTCTCCTTGTTTTTTGCGTCTCGCCCTGTTCGCATGAGATTTTCCCGCGCTTTCAAACAAACATGGCATCATCCGTGCGTCGTTCGAGTGCGGTTGATTGTCATCCGTCAGATGATAGCGAAAGTGATGAGGATGTTGACTTAGATTTTGATTCTTCAAGTGAAGAAGATAGTGACGACAGTCTCATCGACAGCGAGTCAGATGACGAAGAAAGTATTGATGAAATGATCGCCAGCTCCCGTGCGTGGTGTCACATAGACCTCAACAATATTCCAGCGAGACCTCCACGGTTTC